TCGTTACTCGTCACTGTTTGATGTGGAGTATCTGTGAGCTCTTTTTTTTCACTAGTTAGCACATGATTGGCTTCAGTCAGCTAGTGTGTGTATAGGGACGTCTCAATAGTCAAACAATCATTTACTCTGCAGCTAGCGAAAAGGTGGGTGTTTTTTGTGTGGGTTTTTTTTTGTCTTTCTGAATAATATAATCAGATTTCAGCTGTGATGATGTATGGAACTTGCCCTCTCTGATAAGTTGATGGTGAAAAAAGTTTCTTTCTGTGTACTCAAAATCTGAGCTGAAACTTGTTACCCTTGTGTGATTGTTTTAGGTTTGCATGCCATTGTGGGTTCATGGAATAAAAGGTGAAAAACAGAAGGTGATAGAAAGATCAGTTAGAACTTATGTGGGAAGAGGCATTCTACTTGATCATTACTTCAGTTTAGATTCATCGAATGTTAGGACTTCAGTTTTAGTGAGTCCTCCTTCAACAAATAAGGCTTTGGCCCTGAAAGAGACTTGAGACACTTTTCATCATATTTATTATTTATAGAATTCAAAGGTTGATTTCAATGAACTGCCTATGGTGTGTAATGTAGGAAGTGATGTGTTTAAGATAGTGCACCAATGTCTTTATAGTGTGCTGTTGGCAGTTGACATAAATAATCATGTTCTTCTGTAAAGCCAATTCTATCTATTGTTATACCTGTTGAAACCTGAGATATTCTGATGCTTTGCATGTTTCACTGTGTTATTATTAAGGCAAAATTCAGCACTGATGATGTATGGAACTTGCCCTCTCTGATAAGTTGATGGTGAAAAAAGTTTCTTTCTGTGTACTCAAAAATCTGAGCTGAAGAAAAAAATAGTTTTCTATACTGTGTGCTGTGACTGTCAAACATCAATTTCAAGTGCTATTGTTTCACTCTTGGTTTGCAACAATTATTATTTTAACATTTTTTAGTTAGTTTTTTTGTGTCCATTGTGTTGTGACTCTTTGTGTCTGGTAGACTAAGTTATTCGGTGGTTGAGGTTGCAACAGTGTGGCCTTCTCCTTCTTTCCTATCAAACATCTTTCATTTATTAACTCTCCCATCTTTTCTTTGTATATGTAGCACCTCAACCATTTGGCACTTTGTGACGTATTTGTGTTGCAAGTGCTGTATAACTTTTTATTAAAATTAAGCTTTTTGTCTTACTCTCTAGTAGTAACACCTCTAAACTTCGACACTTACATGACCTGTTTGTGGTGCAAATCTGGTAAAACTCCAACTGAAATGAAACTGAAACAACTTTGTTGATCAAACATCTATGGTTTTTATCTCCCCTCCTTCTTTTTTGTGTTTGTTACTCTCTTGTAACACCTCTAATCTTCGGCAGTTAAATGACCTTTATTGTGTTGCAAGTGCCGTAAACTTTTACTAAAACGTAACAACTTTGTTTCCCCTCAGGGCTTGCCCACCTGTGTGAGTTCATCGAGGACTGTGAGCACACCGTGCTGGCCACCAAGATTTTGCACCTGCTGGGACGGGAGGGACCCCGCACCCCGACGCCCTCCAAGTACATCCGCTTCATCTACAACCGCGTCATTCTGGAAAATGCCGCCGTGCGAGCTGGTGAGTGGAGGGTCTGCTCTTGTTGTGTACACCAGGCACAGCCTACTGTGACTTTTGAATTAAACAACGGAAGCTCTTTATTTTTGAGAGGTCTGAATTTCCCGATAAATCCAGGTTTCTAAAATTGTCTGAATTTTGCCGGACTTCAAGCCTATCATTGAGAATTTGTGGCACTTTTTTTATAGTATTGATATGAGATGTATCAGACAAAATGATCCGTAAATTTTGAGCCCCTGAGCTTTTTCATGGGGTCCAAAATGTTCAGGATTAAAAATGTTGTTTTTTTCAGTCAGTTGGGTCTTCAATATTTTTAGCAATATGGTTTCTGGGCAATCTCCTTCTTTCCTTTGAACGTTACTCCTAGTAGCACCTCTTATCTTCAGCACTTGTATTACCTATTTTGTTGTAGGGCTATGAAACTCTTATTAAACAAAAAGAAAGAAAATTCAGCTGTGATGACATTGGAACTTGCCCTCTCTGATAAGTTGATGGTGAGAAAGTTTCCTCCTGTGTACTCAAAATCTGAGCTGAAGCCAAGGCAGATTTTAATGTGGTTGCTTAATTGTGTTAGAGTCCTTTGACCAATACG